CACTCTGCATATCAATCTTATTTATATACTCCTTTATCTTTAATCATTACCCTTCTGCTTGCACCACTCCTCATACCCACCTCTTTCCTCTCCCACTTCTCCTGACAGGCACAATGAGAAGGCAGCCACCCGCATTGATCTGCTGCAAGACTACGTGTGCTTCGTCCTCTACCACGGCGAGCAACCTTTGGCCGAGATCAGCTTCCCATTCAAGTCACTCTACGTAAGGTTTAGTGTTTAGGGTTCAGGGTTCAGGGTTTTTGTATACGTAACCACTTAATGTACTCACTCTATCTAAGTACATTTGAATGTGTTCACTCTATGTGTGTACACGTATGTGTGTTTGTGTGCTGACGAATGAGTTGGTATTTCTGGGTCATTTTGAGTCCTCTTCTGTATAGTCGTGGTGCGTATGTGCGTGTGCACGGACCGAGCGGACACTCACATACACAGACAGATAAACTATACACGGCCTTTTCAACTGCCACTTGAGCATATGTATTTATCATAGAGTGTGTTATATATGAATGCGAATGTTTTTAACACATTAGAGAATGTGTTATATATATATATATATATATATATATATATGAGTGTTATAATCGTATCATAGAATGGTTTATATATATATGTGTGTGTGTTATAAGCGTATCATAGAGTGTGATATATATTTACGCGAGTGTTATAATCGTATCATATAATGGTTTATTTATATATATGTGAGTGTTATAGTCGTATCATAGTGTGTTATATATGAATGTGAGTGTTATATATGAATGTGAGTGTTATATATGAATGTGAGTGTTATACACTTATCATAGAATGGTTTATTTGTATATATGTGAGTGTTACCATCATATCATAGAATGGGTTATATATATATATACGAGTGTTATAATCATGTCATAGTGTGTTATATATTTATGTGAGTGTTATAATCATGTCATAGTGTGTTATATATTTATGTGAGTGTTATAATCATATCGTAGAATTGGTTATATATTTATTTGAGTTATAATCATAGCATAGAATTGGTTATATATTTATTTGAGTTATAATCATATCATAGAATTGGATATATATATATATACGTGAGTGTTATAATCATATCATAGAATGGGTTATATGGTATGTGAGTGTTATAATCATATCATAGAGTGTGTTATATATGTATGTGAGTGTTATACACTTCTCATGGTGTAATATAAATTTGTTATATTATATCACACACTGATCATGTAATACATAACAGTATCTATTATATTATATAAAACACTCACCATAACACCCACACTGTGTTTTATATTATTTAACACACTCATCATAAAACACGCCCTCTCAAATACTCACAGTTATATTATATAACACACTTATCATAACACTCACAGCAAGTGCAACCAGATCTAACGTGGTACACCATGTCGAAGTCTGTCGAAACACATATGAACTTACTGAGAAGGTATGTCACTGTAATGGTGTGAATGTATATATATGTGTGTGTGCATGTCTAGATGTGTATATGTGTATGCATGTATGTATATATGTGTTTGTATGTATATGTAGATGTGTCTGTATGCATATATATATATATATATATATATATATGTGTGTGTGTATGTAGGTGTTGATTCATGTATGTCTATGTGTGTGTATTTAGGTATGTAAATATGTATGTATGTATGTATGTATATGTACGTGTATGTATAGGTATCTCTACGTGTGTATATATGAAACACATGATCTTCCTGGGTATAAAGGCCTTGGGTTTCAGTATACAGAGAAACCTATTTTTTTTTCATCGCATACCACAAGTATGTGGTTGGCACCTCGGCACTTGATCTGTTTTAAGTTTCAGGGTTCTAGAGTTTTATATTTCTTGGGTTATAACCTTAGACCACCCTAACCCTATGAGTCGTCTCATGATATCATATAGCACCACTTGGTAGCTTTCTGGACCGTTGACTTTAGTACCGAACTTCTCTCAGGGCTGAGCGGAAAGCCCAAAGTAAACTGAGCTCTGACTTCTGGGAGGGCACGCGAGACTTGGAAGACGATGGCATGGGCCGTGTACGCAAGTTCGTATCGCTGCGAGTGATATTTTTGGTCCTGATATTTTTACAGGTAAGGGATTGGGGTGATATATGAGTTTAGGTTATATAGAAGGCCTAGAGTTAGGCACCTGTTTACAACAGTTTTGGGTCAGATATGTCCGGATTTTTGAGAATGTTTTGTCCTTTGGTGTGTGGGTGGTTGTGTCCGGGTAGTCGTATTGGGTGATTATAATCTACTGTACGTCGAGCGACTGGATGTACTATCTCTGCAAACACACGTATATATATATATATATATATTTATATATATTATACACACTCGCATATACAT